GTCCTTGATGGTATTTGTGACTTCGTCTTCAAGCTCGTGCTCAATTTCGAGATCCTCTTCGGCGATGACAACAGGCACTCGCGGCTTCTTTGGTGGTCGGCCACGCTTCTTGGGCATGACAAAGTCTGGGTCGATGGTCTCACCGGCCTCGACTTCCTCGACTGCACTGACAACAGACTCCAGGACCGCCTCCGTGTTGCCGTCAAGAGCCGCTAACTCAGAGGATGGATCGCTATCCTGTGTACCAGAAGCTTCCGTCTGGGTCGCAACTGGCTGAGATGAACCGTCGTTTGACTTGCGCCTCTTGCTCGTGCGTTTTGGTGCCGTGTCTGAGCCTGCTTCTGCCTCGCTATCTCCAGACTGGTTCTCTGTGGTCTCCGGGTCGCCGCCCTCAATTGCTCGTTGCTTCCTCTTTTCCCTTCGCTCTTCCTTCTCTGCGCGCCTCCAAATGGCAGGAGGCTGAGCCTTAACCTTGAGACGGGGCCCGAACTCTCGGAACTGGTTGACAGTGAGAGCCGCGCTCTGTGTCCTCTTGTATTCGTATAGACGGGAGGTGATGGTGGAGTCGGCGACCTTGACAACGTAGACGACCTCTCGGATGGTCCGGCGGAAGTTGTTCATGCGGGCGGCTATGATGATACAGGCGCCACACAATCCAGCCGGCTGACGACCTTGCACCATCCAGTCCCGGTTCATGCGCTTCAGGACCCTACAGGCGTCGTCGGCGACCCTGTGAGAATCCTCTCCAAACTCGAGCTTCCGACAGTATTTCAGCATCAACGGCTCGATCTCCTGGACGGCTTTTGTGCCCACGAGCTGTGCGGGATCGTCCTCCTTCAGCATCTCCAGAAACTGTTTGTACGTGTCTCCGAGCTGCCAGACGTTGGTCTGAATCTTTTCGGCCAGGTCGATGAGCATGAGCGTGTTCTCGGGTTGTCTCCGTGCTGCCATGTAGATCGCGACAGCGGCAACGGTCCTCATGCGGCGACCCTGGATGAATCGGTGGTTCATGGCGAGCTTGTACCAGCTGTAAGCCTGTTCTACGACGGCCTCACGCTGGTTGAGAGATGCGCCTAGAGCTACGATAGAGTTCTTGCCATTCATCGCAGCCTGGTCCCTGCTCCCCATACCCTCCAGACCCCGCATAGTACCGCCCATGGAATTCGCGTGACGCTGGTTGGCGTGGATGAAGCCACCCTCGACAATGGCTGCTCCGCCCGAAGTTTCGCCAAAAGTAACCTCGGAGACGATGTTGTTTTCGCCGTGGACAGCACCGCAGTTGTAGCACAAGACTTCATTGTCGGAAGTATCTATCTCGGGTTTCTCGCAGCAGGCGTATGTACGTTTCGCGGTTTTGGTGGCAGCCACCACGGGCGCCTTGCTTCGTTGCGTTGCTTTGGATTGATAGTGGTAGGGATCGCTCAGACCTTTGATCCGCGGTCCTCTTGCGACCTGAGCTGCCGACATATTGGGCGTGTGGGAACGTAGGGCGCGGGTGCGAACGAGCGTTGTGTCGAGTCGGTTGGGGAACGATCGAGAGTAAGAAAGTAAAGTCGGCAAGGCAGCACGAATGAGACGCGGTACCGCGGGAGGGGCACTAGCGATGACTGGCGCTAAGTGGGATGAGCTTAACCGCTTTGGGAAGAGAGCTCTGCACCTTGAGCTGCGAACACATGGCCAACACCGTTATTGTGGGAGCCTGCTGCCTTCAACGCTGTATCGGATCGCTAGCCGTCGAAGGGATCTCATATGCAGTTCTACATATATGGATCGAATATGAGCTGCATTTGAAGCATTTCTGTAGTTACAAATGATTTGACGTAAAAGAGCGCACTGCGTAGCTGTTGTTGTGTCCCTCCTATACCGTGGAGGCTGGTTGGATGCACAATGTCCACGAATACATATCTTACAATTGCTGTTGAGACGTATGTCTTTGCGACACTCTCGATGGATCTCTCATATCAACAGACATTGAGCGGTACCTGCAGCAAAGTAACATCAGCGCAACGCTTGTGTGCCCCCGTCCCGGTGCTCCCATGCGGGTGATGACCACATGGCCAATGATTGGCTAACCTGGACACACCCGAACAGCCCGAACTAAGCCATTGAGCAAAAGCCGCAAGAGCCCTGGCTTCCCAGCCTCCTTGGTAGGGCCTGCGTAGGTGCTGTCTATTTCATCCGGGCGCCCGTCCCTGGGTCCCCGCTCGCAAGCTTCTCCATAGCTCTCAGCTCTCGCCCTACCCCAAACACTACCTTGACCTACCAACCTTCGTCAAATTTCTCCAGAACGACAAAATGTCCACAAGAAAGAGGAAGAACCAGGAGGAGGAGCTTGTCGCTCTCCCAAGTGATGAGAGCGAAGAGGAAGAAGAGTAAGTCGGCGCTTCCTTGACGTCATGGCCCTTGCACTTCGCGTCGCATGCATCCCCTCTTGAAGGCATCGCAATTGCCTTTCCTCTTCAAAGTGGATTAGGATCTCTGGCCTTGTTACCAAGTTCTACGAGAGTTTGACAGGCGTGGAATCGGTGTTGCGCCCAGGCTTTCGGGGTGGAGAAACGGTTGACGCGACCGCGCTTCGCAACAATGCTCACAAAGCTCTTCACTTGGATTCGCTCGGCGGTCACGTCTCTCCTTTGAGCGTCGAGGATTTCTGGGCTGCGCTTTACTCTCGATTAGGGAACTTTCATCACAGTGCTAACACATGTCACCTAGATATGACGAGTCTGACGGATCAAACTTCAATTCAGACGATTCCGACGCCGAAGAGCCTCGTAAGCCAATACTGTCACTCAATACCACTGTATATAAGTTTCTCACACTCGATTGTAGCACCAAAGAAGAAGACCAAGCGCACCAAGCCCAAAGACGATGAAGACGATGAAGAAGAGGAGGAAGACGACGTGAGCGATGAGGATGATGACGAAGCCGCGGTGCCCGAGGAAGATGATGACGACGATGAAGATGCCAATCCGAAAGGCAAGAAGCCAGCTGGTGCGGAGAAGGACCGGAAGGTCAAGACCACAGGCAAAGCTGACCCCGTACCTGTTGTCGATGACGACGACGATGACGAGTAGGGATGTAATGTCGAGGTATGCAGTATGATAATAGTGCTAGCTGGTCAACGAGAATATACAAAGTATCAGTTGATAGTTTTGTTCTTGAACATCCACAGTTGCTCTACCTAACCTACGGGGGCGGTAGTGCATACCTCTGCGACCATCTGTAGCATGTCTCTATCGCCGACGCATCTCTTGGCGAAGCTGTTCGACATGCCACACAAGATCCTCGACTCAGTCTAGAGTTCGGCTGGCAGTGCCATTACAGCAGGACTGTGCAACTTTGGGTGACCACGCCGGATGGGTTCTAGTGTGATAGCCTTAGCGCGCCGCCTCTACCTACATATGTAGGTACCCAGACTTTCCACGCGACTACCTCGTTCACCAGAGTTGGAAGTATTCTGCAGAATACAATGCTACCGCTGTCACTCGCAAAAACGTGAGAGAGCGCGCCGAACAGCACCCTCCGTTACTTCCCAATTCTGGTCGCTCTTGCCTTCCGAAGTCTGTGGTAAACACAGTCCGCTCTAACCACGCGTGTTTCACCCGCTCGACACGCCCCGCCTCCAACGACACCATGGCACTGGTTATGGATGACGCGACCAATCGTCTGGACGTCTACAATGCGCAAGATGGTTTCGAAGAGCTTCTGATCGCGTTCAACCCATACGTTGAAGAGCTACTTCACCAACCCGCATTCCACCTCTTCATGACTTTACCTGCCGTACGTGTCATCACCGTACCGATTCTTACTGTAACTTGAGCTGACAATTTCTACTAGGAGCTTCGATGCATGGTCTACAAGCAGTACTTCCTGGACGAAAAGCAATCGATAGCCTGTCAGGATTGGCCACACTTGCGATTCTCTGAGGACTATGAGCAGACTATCCGACTTAAGAGGAAGCACTCACCGTTTCTACCGTCTCTTTGTCTTACCAGTAAGAGCCTGCGAAGCGAACTGCTCTCTTGTTTGTTGGAGGCAGCGCGTTTCGAGTTCGACGACTGTACAGCTCTCAGTAGAATCATGGTCTCACTGGAGGCAAGGTCTCTGCATCTCCATGTTCGAAAGGCGAAAACAAAGAACGTGAACGGGCAGAGAGGGATAGTATTCCTCGAAGACGAGCCCGGCAGAAGTGAAGAGGACGCCCGCGAGCTCGCGCAAAGGTGCAATAAAGTCAACTCCTCCACGATGAAGCGCTTCTCACGACTTCGCGAGCTTAGCGTCACACTTTACTCGCCATTGTTGTGTACACCTGGGAGTGGCAATACAACGTTCTCCATCCGCCCAATTTCATTCGACTTGTTCTTGCATGACTTCCAACTCCAAGCTATCCTGGGCTTGAAAGAGCTACAAAAGCTCACCATTACAAAGATCAGCGGCGCAGCCGGCACTTACGACACTCGCAAGCAGATCAAACTTAACAGTGACGGCCTGGTCGAGGATGATAAGTCAAGCAATATCACCGCTGTATTGGATTTCTGTCGACAGATCAAACATGGGTTCACTATACAAGGACGCAACGTAATAGTCAAAGCCTGTCTTCAGTATTGCCAGGATGTATATGAGGAAAGGGTCTTTCTTTGAATGAATGCGGAAGGAGACCGAGCCGTGCAGACTGGAACGAGGCGAGCCGCCGTCGGACGTGGTCACAAAGGTAGATGCATAGGATGGCAATGTGTGCAAAAAGGGCAGTTGGGACACGCGTAAAAGACACTGGTTCCACAAACACGTTCCTGCATCGGGTACATTGTTACACATCTGGGGCGTCTGAGAGCGTTTACCATTCTTCACGTACTTCGCTGATGTAGTCATATGGTCGGTGGAGGTAGCTTTAGTCATCATGATATCGTTTTGACGAGAAACCCAGGCTTTGCCAGGATCCATGCGTGCTGGATACTAGGATACAGCACGCACATACCCAGCATCTCTGCCTAGGCATGATTTCATGCCGAAGAGCAGATATTGTGATCAACCACGACACGTGTGCGATGAATGAACGTGCTTTTCGTCTCAAATTCGACACCCTTGACATCGACGAGTGTACCAAGAGAAAATCGCAAGGTGTAGAACTCGCCTTCGACCTCTTCGCGGTTGATCTCGATTCCTTGTCCTGGCCTACACAGCACGCGCGGCTCGCGGAGATCATATCTGGCTAACCATAGGAGACCAGCACGACGCCGAAAGCGATCTACTACGTCGTCACGACGAGTGTTATCCCAAAAGAGATGCCCCTGAGAGTGTTGGCAAACATCGGAACTGCAGTGCAAGCAAAAGTACACACCAGGTCGGGATTGAGTAACCTGCTGAGAGCATGATGGACATATTTCGAGGTCCGAGCTGTATGCCTGAAGCTTGAAGTCATGCGTTACAGTGATGGCGTAAGTTTCTTGTTCTAGATGGGAGAAGTCAGGCCCTTTCACAATGCGAGCAACGATGGCGGCAGTGCAGAAGCACATCTCTTCTTTGCATGCATCCAGGACTTGCATGATGAGCTCGGTATCTGGACCATCATAGTCGACCCTGACCTTGTCGCCACCCTTACAAATCGCTAGCAAGGAGTAAATGCGGTCCCGTCGAAGTGTGCAACATTTTCCTTGGAACCATCGTAGGAGGTAGATCAATCCATGGGTGGCCTGCCGCCTTCCTTTCTGCAAGATCGAACAGCTGGGGCCATTCTCGAGGTAGTCGTCCTGTGACCAGTACAACAGATACGCATATTCCATGATAGAACTAAAATATAACTCCTTTGTCGAGTGCACACAGTAGTACGCGAGTGGCAGGAAGTCGATGACGTGTTCTCCAGCCATCACTACTTGCGCGTTTGCTAGCATCATTTCCTGTGCGACCCACGCCCTTTGCCAGTAGGCATTGTTTGCAATGAGATCGTAATGTTTCTTAATGAGTGAAGAGTCCGAGATCTCGGAGTCGTACGTATTCTCTTGACTGAGATCGTAAGCTGGGACGGAGCGACTGCTGGAGTCCGGCTCTGCGTTCTGAGAGCTGCTCCCCTGAGGTGAATCACCGTGCTTGCTGTGATAAAAATCCTCCCAAGTCTTCCAGGCCTGGCGGTCGAACTTCTGCCCCACCGCTCGAACGAATTCTTGCGTCTCGAAATTATTGCCTAGCCACGACACGACCAATCTCGCGCCAGCAAAGATGTCACCCATCTGCTGAACTTGATGGTTTCGTTCTTCGATATCGGCTTGATTTATGCACAACGCGTCTATCCACAATGTGCAAAATGTGAGACGCTGGCGTGCCGCTTGGAGGAGGTCGTAGAGGTTTTGGCGCACATAATGTAGCTTTCCATCGAGCTTGATAGGGAACTCGTCCCCTGGTTCGCCCCAGGTATATGAAAGACAGACATAGTTCGATTCTTGAACTAGCGCATTTTGTAGGTAGCAGTCGGGGAGGCCGTCGACGGAGAAATCAGGTCTGACTTGTATCAATCTGAAGGAGCCCTTCACTTTTGGTAAAGGGGAGTGCTGGAATATTTCTGCCTGGGTCTTCGGGTTGGCCTCGATGCCCGTCATGATTGATATGGTTGATGTGGCTGATACTGCTGGGCAGACTGTTGGCCTTGGTATTGAGCTGAGCGATGTCTCAAAACAGTAAATGACTGAGCGTTATAGGTATCAGCAATGCCGATCCTCGCGATGTGCGGCGGAGCGCTGTCATGAACTGTGTTTCGGATCGTTGCAATTTATGCTGAAGAGCAAATTAATGGCAGGTAATGTCATCTTGAAGACGTGGTGTGTTGATGCAAGGTACCTGCCGCGGGGCATCGTAGGCGGCACGGGACGCTAACCTCAGCCTAGACGTGTCATGTTCACGGTCGCGACGCGACCATCCCGCCACCCATTATCGCCCAACGACGAAGTCTCTGCTTCATAGAGCACGCTTCTGTTTCAGATAGCAAAGTATGGGTACACACAAAAGTCCCAAGCCACCAAAGACGGTAAAAGTCCACCCGTATCCTATCTGGCGCACCATGGTCTCCAAAGCCGCCACGCCAGCACCACTGAGAGCGCATCTCACGAGGCTATAACTCGCTTGTACAGTCGAACTTCTCCCGGGATTCAGATCTGTGAGCAGCGTCCCACATGTCGCGAAGATGCATACCTGAGCCGCTCCGGAGAAGAACTGAACCACGAGTAGTATCGCGATATGCGACTTCGTGTGCAATACCCAACCGTAGCCTATGGTAGCCACTGCACTAACGATTACCACCGGAAATATCGATCGCAGTCTAGCCTTTGCGAAGGGGAATTCGTTGCCCGATCGAGACGTTACTGGGAGGCCTAGTCTGCGCGCAGTGACTTTGTAGTCGTGATCGAGAAGTTTGCCGGACGCATACGACGAGAGGATACCGCCAACGCCGTTTGGAAGGTAGGGCAACCCAGCTGTAAGGTAGTTCAGATTGTACTCCGCAATCACTGCTGCTGAGAGCGAGGTTGCGAGACACGTATACATAGTATACGTGATACCGCCAGCTAAGATCACGATGAAGTTGGCGTGGTTCTGGAGAGCTGACAGTGATTTGAGAGGTCCTAGGAAGGCGGAACCACGACTGCGAGAAGATGCAGCTGCCGGAGACCTGGTCTCACGACGAGATACAAGCGAATATATGGATCTGTTCACGAGGCGCGCTGGTTGAAGACTCCCGTTTCCTACAAGGGATCTTTCGGTCTCCGGAAGGAAGAGGGTAAGTGTCGCCAGCAAAGTTCCGGCAACAATGACCAAGAGCCAGAAGATCCATTTCCACGATAGCTTTTCTGAAACTACTCCACCTATGACAGGCCCCAAGCATGGTGCAGCGTTGGTAGCACCCATTAACACACCCACGTAAGATCCTCTTTCTGCAGGTATCGAAATGTCTGCGATGATACCGAAGGCGATCGCGATGGTACTTGAAGCGCCAGCACTTTGCAGACATCTCATTACTATGAGAGTCGCATAATGCTGCGTGAGGGCCAGTCCTATGTTTGCCCCAACATAAATGCAGAGGGTCAAAAGAAGTACGGGTCGTCTACCGATGTCGTCAGCCAGACTGCCGAAGACCGAGGGTGCGATTCCCGATACTATCAAGTACGAGGTGATTGACCAGTTGACCTGTTCGATGGAAACCCGCAATGAGTTTGCGATCGCTGTAATTGCGGTGAAGTATATGAACGATGAGATTGTTAAGAATACCGCTGCTGTAGAACAGGCACCTAGTAATAGTCGCTTTTGAGTGGGAGTGAACGTGGTGTATGGAGTGTCTTCGACATTCGCGCCCTCTTTTTCTTGGTCTGCGAGCCTATTCGCAGCCCCTTCTTCTTCCGCGGCTTCGTTACTTTCATTCTTGACCATTCTGATCGGACAGCCGTGTTGTTCAGAGCTGAATGCCTCAAACAGGGTACGACAGAGAAGGGTGGCACCTGACTCACAAGGCACGCTTTGACGTCTCTGCAATCTAGTCTTGCGGCACGGTTACTTCGAGCACATCAAACGCGGGGTAAGCAGTCACTGTGAAAAGTGCAAACAAACAGACCTAAGCCAGCCATTGACGAGATCGCATTTGACCTCTACAGGTCGCGTGGTGAAGACACTTGTCGGGCTTCCCAGTCTTCGAAGCCGCCAGGGAACTTCTCAACGAGCCCTCTCATCTCAGCTTTGGCCCTGAAGCCAGTCAGCCTGACATTCGAACGTAAGTGTCTTTACACATACCTATCGTGAAACTCGGGCCTGTTGGGATAAAGCGCAGAGACCAAGAGATCATAGCGACTATTCTAGTGAGTAAAAACAACTCCCTCCATGGGACTGTACTAACATGGCGTAAAGTCTATTGCGATCGTCCCAATCTTCCTCTGGCTGCGAAGGCTTCACGACATCCTTATAGCAGATAAAGAACTCCTCGCCCATATTGTACCGCGGCGCACGCCAGCTGCCCAAGTCGCACTCGTTATGGCCCCAGAAAGCACACGAGTCGAAGACGATGATCTTACCAGTATCTTTCTCCAGCATGCAGTTTCCAGGCCATAGATCCGAATGCAAGAGGCATGAGTTAATCGAGCGACCGCCGGTTTCCAGAGGGCGGAGCAACCTGGGTATGACTTTTGAACGGAGAGCTTCGAAGATGACTTCTAACTCTTCGTCTATCCCATATTTGTTCTTCTCTAGATCATACATGGTCTGCATGGCTCTATTATACCAGACTTCCCACGAATCTTCCCATGTGTTGTCGTTCGGTACGTGAGCAAGGTGAGTTGGAATGTGGAATCCGTATTTGCCGAGCGACGATTTTCCCATACTTGCTTTGTGCACCCCAGTAATGATGTCGACAAAGGCACTTGGATCCAGTTTCTCCATCGCCATGTCGTGGAAGTCGCAGATGTAGAACCATGTGTCCGGGTGGTCTTTATAGGCTCCCCAGGCAATTGGTGTTGGAACATGTTCGGGGCAGTAAGAGTGATAAAGTAGTTCGGATTCGTAGGTACCTTCCATCATCCGTTTTCCTAGTTCGCCGATCTTGGTCTGCGCTTCCATTAGATGGGCTCTCTCGTTTGACGAGACAGGCAATCGAACCTTCACGAAGTATTGTCTCTCCGAGCCGTCTTGCAGCTTTGTATCGATGCGGAAACTCTCACACCAAGCGCTTTCACCGGACTGTTCAATCAATAGTATGTCCATATCTTTCGGTAGCGCTAGATACGATCTTTAGCTCCAGAGAACTCTCGATACGTTGTCTGACTCTACACGCACCAGCCAAAACGTTTGTGTCTAGTCGTTCGATGTGAATGGGATTCGTTTCGCGCTCATGTCGTTTCCTCGCGGCAACCTCGTCGGCAGGGTTCGTAGACATTGTGTCTGCTTGGAATTGCTATAGTAGCACTGTACGACGGTTCGACAAGGTCAACTGCTGAGTCAATGCGCGAACGTGCGGCGCAGTCTTGCGCTAACTCCAAGAATACCGTGCACTGGATGATGTCAGAAACCACAAGCCCGATTCCATACTCGTCACAGGGCCAGCACGTTTGTTCCGATATAGCCAGTTGATGAATACCCAATACACATTTTGTTTGAGTAAGAGCACTTTACGTTGGTAATTGCAACGCCTCGATATTCGCGCTTGCTTCCCGCCCTTCTATCAGCTCTGACAGAACAAGTCCAGTACCAGGCGCATGCGATATACCCCAGGCACCATGCCCCGCTGCTATGTATACACCTCCGTTCCCTTCATCTTTCGTCCTGATACCTCCGAGCTTTTCGTCCGGTATCCGCGATACTATGGGTCGGCCGCTAGATGTGACTGGACGGAAGCACTGCCTGGGATTAGTAAACCAGTTCAACATTCCACTCTCAGTATCAACTTACCAAGCCTTCCCTCAAAATCTCCATGTCTCTGCCTGGGACGTTCACCATCATAGCCTTCGCACACTGTTTCAACTGCTCGATAGCCTTCGCACTAGCTTGAACGTCTGTTGCAACCTCTGGCAGAGGTATATTTGTGCTATTGAGTCCTGCCAGATACAGCTCTCCACCCAGTCTCGCAAACCATTCTGGCGAGAAGCCGAGTGTATCTGTCGCGAAGACTGCGTGGCAGACTTCCTTGTCGAGCTCTTCGGGCTTGTGGTGTGGGTTTCGAACGAGCAGCGAGTGGCCAGCTAAGGAGGAGACGGGGATGCGCGCTTTCGAGGATGGGAAGAGGGTGCTGAATACGCGTGGAGACCACGCACCGGAGGTTATCACGAGACGACTACATGGTACTATTGTCGGTAGTTAGCAATCGTGTAGTTGGGTAGTATAGATTGGACCTTACACTCTATCTCCGACTCGGCGTCATCACCCTTTGATATCCTCACACCGCACAGCACGTCCTCTGCATCCTTGATGATGGCTCTCGCCGTCGCGGGCTGATGTATCATGACCCCCCTTCTCTGAACTTCTTTCAGAAGCCACTGGCAGAATCTCAACGGATCAATTTGTGCCGTCGTCCCATCCCTACTGATAATCTCCATGATGCCTTCCTGTGTGCGCCGAAGCCATTCTGGTCCGGCAGCCTGTTCTTCCCAGGGCTTGTTGTGATTCGCTAATTGTGCTCGACTCGTTCCATTCTCAAGCCAGTCTTCGCCGCTACCGCCAATGGCTGATTCGCTGTCTTGTGAAAGAGAGATTCCGGTGGACTGCGAGTATCCCCATGTTGTACGTCCGGAATGCGCGTTCGCAAGGTCGGCGTGAAGTCTGAAGGATAACGCGCCGAGGGAAGCTACGGATGGTGCGAACCCTACTTCATAGTTAGACAAAGTGTTCAGGTGTTGAAAGACGCGCTGCGCTGATGTTGCACGCGTCGTACGCTGCCAAACGTACAGTCGGCACTCAAGAAGCCCGCAGCAAGGCCAGACGCGCAATGGAATAACTTCGGACTCGAATCAACCAGATGAATACTCTTTGGATCTGTATTTCCACTTTCTGTGAGATAGTACGCGGTACACAAGCCGATGATGCCGCAGCCAAGGATAACGACGTCGTTGGCGTTCTCCCCACAAGAAGCATGGATTTGGCCTGGCATTCTGAACTTCACGCGGGGCAAACCAAGGGACACCGCAACAGCCTCGAATGCGCCCGCCACCACGCCTTTAAGCACGCCAGCAGGTACTCTCGCGCAAGGCCGGCACACCAGCGGCGTCTCACATCACAGCATAATCATCATGTGTTAGATCATGTTGCTGCCCACCCAAAATACTAAACATCGTACGAGCTGTTCCGCACATCTTCGCTAACTCCACTGCACACCCCAGTCACCGTCCCAGACTCGGGTAAGTCGCATGAGCCGACATGGCCTGATTTCCCTCCTACACCTTCTGGAGCCCGGATCTTCGCTGCTTTCGATTACCGTTGGTTGGACTAACTGATGCAAGACTCGGATGATCTGCGGACTGGAACTTTGATTACAGGTACGGCTATTGGGTACAGTGGTGCCATCATGAGAGTTGGGGCACGCGAACGCCCCGCTGCGCATGTGTGGGATGAGCTGGAAGACGCGTATGTGGAAGAAACTTGTGGGCTGCATTGATAACTATGGAGACTCTATCGATGGAATACTGTTTGCTGGGAAGGATGCCGGATGTACCGTTCCTGATCGGTCACTGTCACACTTTTCAGGGCCCGACCCGACCCAGCGAATTTAAACGACCCTGCATAACGAAGTGCGTACCCGATGATCTATGCACTGCCACCAAGATCCAACATGCCCTGGAAGGCTTCGTAGTCTTGCAAGGGGTTGTTGTGCTGCTCTTGCGCTGCGGAGATTGCGGGATCAGCCACGATAGCCTTCACAGGCGAGTCCGTATCCGGGCTGTGCGGATAGGTATTGTCCCACAGCCTGCGGATGATCATAGGCGCTTCGTTTTCGTGGTCGACGAATGCTCCAGGGATACGTGTACGAGGTACGTCGGCCGTCTCAGTCACACCAGTCACAGGTCGGGAGCTGGATCTTGATCCATAGCCGCTACCGTCGTAGAGCCCAGTATGCTCGCCCCAGGAACTATCACGCTTTCCCATCTTCACTTCCTCGGCGACGTGCCAACTTGGGTCAACATCCAGATATGCTGGAAGTTTTCCAGTAGCAAACGCCTCATTGAGCTCGCTGTCAGACACAGAGGTAAGCCCCGCATCCCGAATAATAGCGCTCAATTGTGATGCCAGCTTCTCTTCTTCTGCGGCAGCATACCTGATTGGCGTTTCATTGTTCCATCCACTGTCGTCGTCGTCATCTTCATTGCAAAAGGCAAGCAGCTTGATTTTCATGCGACACTCTCCGTCTGCTCGACGGTAGACGCTTGCCTGGTAGCCATTCTCAAGGATAAGCTGTGCATGCTCCTTTGGTGTCCTGTCTGTATTCGTTTCATTGGAGACCTTGGTGGTCGCATCCTCTGATGGCTTATCCGGGTTGTTGTAGACTGGCGAGTTATCGATACGATCTACCCCAGACGGATCCTCTCGGGCTGATGTCTGACCTAAGTCTTCGCTCTTAGCAGGAAGTGAAAAGCAATCGTCGATAGGCAGATAGTCGGATCCTGGGTTTGGAAAGCGAACGAGGGGCTCATTGAAGTAGACTGCAGCTTCCCGAAGACTGTCAGACAGAGCGCTTTTTGTTGAAGCTGGTTTTCTCATCGCTTCCAAACTTGGTTCGTACGCTTGGGTGTATGCTGGTGGCGAAAGAATCATGGTCTTTTCTGAGTCCAGAATCTTCTGGATAGGTGCTGGTGATAGTGGAACAGTTCCATCTGGTATGAGCGATGAATCCGCAGGCGATTGCGGGATCTGTTCATAGGATGGTGGGACCGGTACCGGCGAGGAATGGTGGACATAAAGACTCGAGGTTCGGGGGTCCATGCGGTCAAGATCGAATATTGGTCTGTCTGGGGGAGACTCCTCGAAGTAGAGTAAAAGCGATGAGTTGAGGCGGTGCTTCGGGGTCAGCGGACTCTAGAGGACAGAGAGTCAGTGGTCGTTTCTCTGTTGTGGGGAAAGATACTTACACCATCCACGAGGCACTCTGATATATCAGACTGCTTGGTCTTGGTAGGTGAGCGCAAGCTGCGTAAAGAGCCGATGCTCCGCAGCTTTTGCTTTCGCAACGAGCCCATTAGACCTTTGCGCATTGATGGACTCTCTCTGATAGGCGATTCGTCGCTAGAATCAGGTATAGTTGAGCTCGCGACAGGCGAGGACGGTCCTGGAGTCTCACAGCTTGGTGCATTGTTCTCGTTGTGCTTAGCGGAGCAGGGTGGCGAGGGACTTGACAATGTCAGCATAGCAAAGCAGAGATAGGAACATCTCCGACTCACGGAGCTATACTCATTCGAGAGAAGATACCGGTAAAGCTCCTCTTGGCACTGATGATGCGATCAAAAGGCATGGTGGCTGTTCGTCACTATCCCAGTCCTGCACTGTAGGTTCGGCAGTGTGGTTGAGGCTACGGGGTTAGTCGAACGGATGAGGCCACGAGTGTGTGGGAGCTGTTGGAGTCGGCGCTCTTGACATCTGATCCATGTTTGTTGATATACACGTCTGGTCCTGCCGGGTTGACTCTGTGTACTTCAAGGTGGCAAGTTCCAAGAGCGTATGGTGGTTTTGGCAGGATCAACCCCTCTACAGATCGAGCGGATGCAGACGACGCGCTCATAAAATACTCTGAACCCGTTTGTTCTAAGAGAAATAACTCCAGGTATCATGTTCGCTGGTATGATGTTGAAGAGACCTGTTCAACGAGCTCGTTTCTCATGATTCCCGTAATACCTAGGTGGAGATGCGGTACCTAGGTATGCTTGGGGCTTCCCGAGGTCGTGCCGTTGCTTGGACATGACAGGTATTGACATCGTTTACTGCAGTGGGTATGATTGCTTGATCAACGATGGCCACTTGTGAGGTATTGGAGAATGTACGTTTAGTCTGGGGAAGACGTTGACGAAAACGCCTGGCTTGAGCTTGCACGTGATGGCTGTGGGCCGTGCGCGGGACCCTTGCTTAGCTCTTTCACGTCGCGGTCCTTAGCATTCCTGGAGTGCAAGAGCATTGCTAACCACCGACACCGCCCTTCACCCAATTTGCATCCGGATCCCAAAGTTGGAGTTACAAACACACCGCGACAACTGTTGCTAGCTTCACCTGCGCCACATCAACGCCGTTTTCGACCAGCCACAATGGCGCGCGGCCGCCCATCGCGAGCTGCAGCGCGTCGCAGCACGCCTGTTCGCAGCGCAACACCCCAGCAAGACAGCGACGAGGATATGATAGATGCACCAGAATCGCGCGCCGACACACCCAAGGAAGAGGAAGAGGATGCTGAATCAGCAGCTCAGGGAAGCGACGAGGAAGCCGCACCCTCTGAGCGTTCACCTTCTCCAGCAGTTATCCAGCCGTTTCCGCGCAAGAAGCGTCTTGGTCGCCCTCCTAAGAACAGGCCGCCGGACTGGAATGTCATCGAGCCCGACAACTCCGAAGGCGGCACACCCGTCAAGCGCAAGCGGGGACGGCCGTCTGGTGGAGGTCGAGGAAGGCCTCCAAAGGGAGGGCCGTCGCATACCACGCGCGTTCCTATAGACAAAGAGGGCAACATGATGGACGTAGTCAACGATGAGGTTGACCTACCAGAAGATGAAGAGGGCGAGCAGAAGGTCGACAAGCTGGGTAACCTCATGGGTGGACGAGACTACCGCGTGCGCATATTCACCATCAAGGGCAGGGGCGACAGACAGTACATGTTGTCGACTGAACCGGCTCGATGCTGTGGGTTTAGGGACAGTTATCTGTTCTTCACCAAGCACATGAAGCTCTACAAGATCATCATCGACGACGCTGAGAAAAGGGACCTGATCGACCGCGACATCATCCCTCATTCCTACAAAGGTCGTGCCATCGGTGTCGTCACAGCACGATCTGTCTTCCGCGAGTTTGGCGCGCGCATCATCATCGGCGGCAAGAGGGTCATTGACGATTACTACGTTACAGCAGCAAAGGAAAGTGGCGCAGTAGAGGGTGAACTTGCAGACCCCAACGACAGGCTTCCACCTCCAGGAGAGCCATACAACAAGAACCAATACGTCGCTTGGCATGGTGCCAGTAGTGTCTATCACACCGGTGTGCCCAGTGTACCTACTGCAAATGGCAAGCCTGCCCCTGGAAAACGGAAGGTCAACATCACCTCTGCTAACTGGCAATTTGAGCATGGTCGCGCTGCAAGGTATGCATAAATTTTACACCTATCTATGACTACCAGGACTAACATACCCTAGTCGATTCAACTCGAACCTCTCCAAGCTACGGAAAGCAAATCTCACGGGCGTATACGACCCACATACCAACCTGATGTGTTATCCTAAGGTCACACAACCCACCCATGCACGTTGGGAGGAGGTTCCTGCGGAAGAGACCGACGTACCTCCACTCGTTCGTCGCAAGTATCTCGTGGTCGACTCGGTCTTCCAACAACCTCCCTTCGCCGGCCTGGGCATACCCGGGCCAGATGGTGACTTCGTTGACGTCGGTACAAACGGTCTACCGACCCTGGACGACGAGGACAAGTCGAACATGAAGCCCGAAGAACTACAAGCGTTTGAACAGATCAAGGCGGAAGAACAGGAGTGGCGCAGCCAATGGGGCGGAGAGAGCACTGACGGTGCGAGAGTGAAACCGAAGATTGGTTTCGTGGGCGTTCCGGTTTGAGACATTCAAACCAAGTTGATGTCTTGAAAACTGTTGTGCTCACATAATTTCTTTAGATACCACTGCTACTTCCAGGACGGGGCGAGGTTGCGAACGATGTAAAAATAGTTCCCATTCCTGAGGCGGGGGGCACTGCTCGATACACCTCAGTATATGCTTCCTCTTGACAGCAACAATCTCATCGGTCATGGTTATTAGTTCTTCACCTCCGGCGCATTCTCAATTCATTATTCATCACGTCGGTGTTCGACTGATGTACTACGTTCATGTCAGAGGCCTACGGTGACCATAGATGGAGTGATCGGTGCTCCTTGATGAGAAATGCCGATATATCTTCCACTATCTGCTTGTCCACTGCCTCGTCGTATATGCCTTTTGGATGCCCTGGAACAGCAAGAGACCGCCTTTGCACGCAGTATGCCCTCTTTTTTTTTTCAGGGCGATACTTGACTGGCTTTGTGTGTACAGATTTGAGGAAATGATAACATTGTCACTCTTTAATCACATGCGTGTAAATCGAACCTGTATGCTTCAGCATCATCTTACTCTTCATACTGAGTCTGGCGATTGCCCTGGGTGGCTCTTCCTTACTTCACGAGTATCCCGAGCTGGCATAGGCAGCAGTTTGACGCTGCTTGCTTTGCGACCATCCGGCATACAAACGCTTGTCGAAGTGATCTAGGCATCAATGCTCGGAATCTCAAGAACACATATTGCACATGAAACATAGGCACACATGACGATGGTGATGACGAAGACTATCGTAATGACTTTTGTGGTTATATTGGTTTCTCGTTTTATGCTGCGGCCTGAAAATGTACGCATGACAATGAGACTTCTTTAATGATGCCTAGCACAGTTGCTGGCACTGTGTGCGTGGCAGCAATGGTCTTGATGGAGAGGTCGGCGCCTAGATCAGCTCTGCTTTGGTTGATTAGTTCGATATACACGAGAGCCGGTTCATCCATAAGCTTCTTGGTTGTCGCCATTGCGTGGCCCGCATTGAACGAGGACGCGTAGGCGGCAGCATCATTGCTGTGATGATCTGGTACTGAGACAGCTACCCAGGGGGCAATGATCGCGGTCGTCGTGAGCATGCTCCCCTTTTCGTATCTCGGATCGTGCCGTATTGGCTTCATGAAGGTCAGCCGACATCCTTATGATTTCTCACGATTTACAGGAGCCATCTGCTCCATGGGAATACTAATCAGAGCCGCACGTAGTCCTGTACAGCTCATTGGAGCATGCCGTGTAGGCGGTAGTATTACTGAGGTAGATCCCATGTACTGAGTCAAGAACGCGACGAGTAAGATCTGGACCGTTGGATTGGAAGCGGTTCCGATGCGATAGGTCCGAATTCTGGTGCCTGAAACGGTGACGAGTCGGCCTGTGGAGCAGCGCACGATGTCCACGACAAAGCACGCTCGAGACGCTAGCCTAGTATTACGCAACCCGTCTTTATTCGAGACTGGAATCCTGTTCTCGAAATCCTGCGCATTCAGTCCATTGCGTAGTGGCAACGGACAATGGGACGACCAGACGACGATAAGGCAAAAGTAATTTCGGTGCCGCATGATGATGAGTGCGGCTTAACGAACCACCGGCTTGTCATTTCTTACTACCGGAGAGCCTCCGTCTTACAAGTTCGTGAAGTCCGAATGGATACAGCCAGAAACCCACCAGGGATGCTTTACTTGAATAAAGCCGGAAACCAAGGGCCTCGTGTGACGCTTCAGTTTGCAGCAGCAATAAAGAAAGGAAGCTAAGGCTAAGCTTCTATGCACATTCCCGGTGCTTCCACGAACAAAGGAACTTTACCCCAGGTTGCGCAAATCTTCCGGCAGTAGGTCGCACTATGGAAGGTGGTTGTAGATTGCAAGGTTGTGTGGGGATATGAAGATGTGTGGGTGGAATGCTTAGCGACGCGGCCAAATAGATTGCAACTATGGGGTGCAGATGCTTCGAGAAGGAATGGCTTCGGGCCTTCATCTACACGTGCCGTGGGTGAAGTATACGAGCATATTGCACGCAATAATTTGGGGGGTGTGCGTGACTGTGAAGACGCTCCGGAGGGAGATGGATGCAGCGCGGCGTAAGGGCGTATTGGGTTTGGCTGACGGCATCTTACGACATGCTACATTGAACTTGTTTCGTGTCGCCACTGAGGTGCAGCGAGTGATACAGGTGGGTCGGTGAGAAGGCTAATATCAGCTTGTGCTACGCCGCGACTGCACGTCGGAGTTGGATGAGGCCGTTTACGCCTGCTTCAGACGGGGGCAGAAGGCCGTGGAGGAGCGGCGCCGCCATCTGAGACTGGTAGCGACGGCACAGCGACACAGGAACGAAATCCGGGCAGCTGTAAGACGACTGCAACACACTCCCCTGACTTGGGTCGTGAAACGATGGACGGCCCGCGGCTGATGGCTGAGTTCCTAGCGTAGGGGGGCGTGTGTCGGAGTGGGCACAATTAGCTCGGCCCCGATGCGGGCAAGCGTTCAAGGGGTCCAGAAGTGCGCTTGGCAGCTGCCTATTAAAGGGTCCGTAGATGCCACCTGTCCTCAGCGCCGCACAGCCCGGGTCCTAGTGATAATCACCCACTATGCCCACTCAGACCTCCATCCTACATCGACTTCACCATGGCTCAGTACACCTTCGACTCTAGTCTCTTTTCCCAGACCATCAACAACTCCGCCATGACTTCCACGCCCCTTCCCCCACCATCAGTCGAGGCCATGCCTACTACTATCAAAATGGAGATGATCGAGAACTACGACCACTCACCCTCACCCGCACACCACTCGTCCAACTCGTCGGAAGCATCACAAACACCAGCGCCCGAGAGCAATGGCTCAAAACCCGTCAAGAAGCGCAAGTCGTGGGGGCAGGTGCTCCCCGAGCCCAAGACCAGCCTGCCTCCACGGAAGCGGGCCAAGACCGAGGACGAGAAGGAGCAACGACGCATCGAGCGCGTAAAGCGCAACCGCCTCGCCGCCCACAACTCCCGCGAACGGAAGCGCCAAGAATACGAAGTCCTCCAGACCGAGAAGGACGAGCTCGAGGCCAACATGCAAGCCTATAAACAAAAGATGGCTGAGATGGAGGCCGAGCTGAGATATTTCCGCTCCAAGTACCCCGGCGAAGCACCTCAACCTGTCTTCGACCTCGCTACACCACCCCGCGACACCTTTGACACCATCTGCCCCGCGCAGATCCCCACCTCCTTCCCCAGCCCAGAGTCAATGGACTCGATGGACTCACCCCGTGACTCATCGTGCCAACCTGAGACTCCCCCATCAAGCTTTGAGGCTTCTCCCGAATTCGACTCGACACAATATCCTGCCGCGATATTGTGCGACCTGCCGTGTCAGTCGACTTCGGGGGCCTCTCTACGGGCGACCTGGGCCTACCTCTCTCTCTTCAACCTTACGCTCCAGTCGACGAAAAGTCTGTCGTCATGGAGAACTTCTTCGACTTCGACCCGTTCCCAAAGTGCAGTCCAACATCGACTGCTCCCATGGAACCCCCTTTTAGCATGGTCGATTCTTCTTCAGTCGATGCCTTCGGTCCAACATCCTTTGACCACGGTTCTTACTCAAACTCTTACGGCTTTCTTGACGGCTTTGATGCAAAGTTCAACGACTTGCAGAGTGCCTCTGGCGCAACTTCGGTTAGCGACGAGGCCCTCGCAGCGGGACAACTTTAGCACTGACGCCATCAAGAGATCCACCAAGGGGGCGAAGAAGCAAACCGAGTTGGTGGATGGTGGCTGTGGATCACGAATGATGAGGTCTTCCAGGCCTAGACAATTGGGTCGGCGTAAGGTTCGGTCATTGAGGTTAACAGGGGCACTGGGTTGGGAAAATATGGAGTGTGGCATCACTACCGGGCGTCGGACGGCGTCATGAGCGTGTACACTCTTGTAGCAACAGTTTCGTTTTAGACTTGGTAACCATTCTGGATATCGCTTCCTGGATAGGCTATGGCGGACAAAATTCACCAAGGGCTGGTGCCTTTATCTAGCCAAATACCACGATCTACCACTTCACAGTACTTCCTCCCATCGTGATGTTTCCTCAATGTTGTTGATGCTCTACCCTTTCACATGTGCTTTTTGTTGGGTACCAAAGTTCCCCACTGCCGCTCCACCAGGGCCACCGATTCTCCACGATTCTGCCCCCTTCCAGCTTCCCACGCTAAGCATCCCAACCCTCCGCTTCGGACTCCGGCTCAGCTGAGGCGAGACTGACTTCGCATGCAGGCTGACGCCAGCCGCCTCCACTCAAAACTACTTGCCCAGCAGCCACGATGACATGAGAACCAACTTATTTCTAGGTCGCCTAATGACGTGACCGGAGTACGTACACAGGGTCTATTCATAGGCCGTTACGGATGTCTGGCTTCCGTGGACTCCGTCAATACGAACGGCGCAGTCATGTATTTTCACACGACTCAGCTCGTCCCGTACATAGACAGACGGACGAACGTGAAATTCGGCCTTCGCGATTGTGCGTGAGGTTTATCGGCCTTCGCTTACGAAGTCTACTATCTACTAAGCCATCAACACCAATTTGGCGTCGCAGGGAACATGGCATGCGAGAACAGCATGTACACCGCACGAACATTCACACCGCGTTTTGGCCCCACCAACACAAGTAATCTAGAACCACATACTCTTAAGAAGATCGTCTTTGAGTTATTTGACTTCCATTCGTTACTTTCGTAGCTATCTAGGGGGCCCACGCCGCTTGCAAGCATGCAATGCAATGCAACGCAACTACCGATGTTACTCGCAAAAGTTCGTTGTCGCTTGTAGATGTTACTCCCTTGCTTTGCTTTACTAGCTAGCTAGCCAGACCCCTTGCTGGTACCGGGGATATCTCCCTAGAGGCCGAGCGCATGGCTGTCGCTCTTTGCTCTGGTGGTGATAGCTTATTTGGTGACCTCGTCGACAGGCGCGGGCTTGTTCGAGTCGGTGGCGGGGGCGCCTTGGCCGGTGTGGCCTTTCTTTGGTGCAAGGCCGCCGCCGGAGGCGTTCATGCCTTCGATAGCTGCGTCGTGTCAGTGCTTGCGTCTTTTGCAGTTATGTTTTCTTCCTTCGTTGTGGTTTGGAAAAGAGCTTGGGATGCGGAGAGGGGTAGGTGGGGCAGCCGGGTCGTACCTTCGCCCTTCTCGATTTCAGGCATGGGAGCGACGTTGTTCTTGGTGTGCTCGAGGGTTGACTGGTATCTGTTAGTCTCCAGCCTGAGATGTGCAATGGTAGATGAGGGTACGTACGTCTCCAGAGGCGCCGTGGACAGCGTCCTTGCCGACCTCGATGGGGCCGTTGTCTGAGGATCCGTCTCCGTTGCGAGGCATGATGAAGTATGTGAGTAAGGTTTGGTTGGTGTAGTAGTAGTTGAGCTTGAGCTGAAAGTAAGAGCAGTGGAAGATTTGTGAGTGTGAGTATGAGGGGTAAGAAGTTCTCGTCGCGATCAATTTGTGTCATCGCGATGATGTATTTTGCTGTGATGTCATGGTGGAGAAACGTACCTGCAGAGCGGGTCACAACCACGTACAACACTGCCTCACGATCATTATGAGCTCGAGTTTGTTTAATGAAGACTTCATGAAATTAGGTAATAGAACTCGCAGTGGTGGCTGCATAGGCATGTATCTGCAACGGCTCGTAGAGCATGATTGCATCGTGTTCTTTGGATGATGCGTATGTAGCCCGGGCAACTCAGGCATCCTTGTGAAACATCAAACCCTAGGAAAACTCTTCGAGAGACTGAAGCTCTGATTACCATTTCTTGGTCGTCTGAGAACCGATTTCCTGTGATTGATCCCTGCCATGGCTTTCCAGGTGGTCGAAGTACGATGGGTTCTGGAGTTGGGTGAGGCACGGTGCAGCCATGTGACGAAACCGCTACGCTGGAAGCCAGCTGGGAAGTTGCTGGTGCGGAAGGCATGGCTGCGCAGATCTCAATGTCTGTAGCGGGCGCAACACCTGCTCTACATCAGACGGCAGTGGGTCAAGATACGTCTGAGATATGACCGAAGTCATGCTGGAGAGCATCGAAAGCTCTTAACTTGAAACTGCAAGCAGTACCGTAATTATTGATTTTGTGTCAACTGGTACACCAAGAACAAGGCGACAGCTGCGAAATATGCTAAACATGCAAATGCAACCAGAAGCCTATCTTGCGCTTCTGACCCATCCGACCACACCAACACTATATCCTACTAACCCACCGACCCTTTCACGTTCCCTCTTTGCCTCCTCTTGCCACTTCCTCAATTCGCCCACAAGCTCAGGGTCCTTGACCACGATGTCTCCATGTAGTCGCAGGAACACACTCATCCAAGCCTGCACCAGCTCGTAGTCTCGACGTTCTTGTAGTCTCGCGGTCAACGCCTCAATGAACGTTCGTAGCTCAGTGTAAGGCTCCGTCGTGTCAAGGGTGCGAATTGCGATGTCAGCAGCCGATGGAGGAAGGGAAGAGAGGTGGCTTAAGAGAGGTGTATATTGGCCAGTCTCGGTCGCATGTGCGAGGTGACGGCTGAACACATCGGTAGCCGTGGCGGCGCTAGAACGCGAAGCAAGCGCGGAGCTGGAGATGCGAGACTTGGGGTCTTGGTCGAGTGGTGCAAGAGCAGTGTTGTCTGCTCCCTGGATTTGATTCTGACCAAGGGATGGGAGGAAGAAAGGGGCCTTCTCTGGGGCTTTGGGAGCTTCCTTGGGCTTGTTGCGGGCACGTATGACATCGAGATGTAAAAGTGTCTGCCAGCGAGACTTCGGGACCAAGCTGAGTGTTGTGATCTTGTCGCTGAGTTGGTCCATGACTGGCACTGTAACTTCGTCCTGATCTTCGTCTTCTGCCTGCTCTTCGGTCGCAGCGTCAACGACTGCGACACCACCCTCGCCAGATGCTGTCGGCGCATTCACTTCGACAACATCATTTTCTGTTATTTGGCGGGTTGACACATGGGTGAAGAGTGTTCGGTTTGTCCAAATGTGCACACCAACCTCGCCATCCAGTCCAGTAGCGAGGAACTCGCCCGAAGGTGAAAAGGCCACTGTGTTACACTTTCGGCGAAGTTTCATGGCGTCGATGAGATGGCCCGTCGGTAGGTCCCACACCCTGACTGTGGAGTCAGAGGCTGCAGAAATGATCCACCGGCCGTCGCTCGAAAATGTGTAGTCGAGAGTCTGCAACGCAGCATGGGACTTCGATGCCCATAGCTCTCGAATGAGTTTCTTGGTGGTAATGTCCAATACACGGATTGAGCCATCGTCACAGCTCAGTGCTATGAGATCACTATTCCGGTGGTAGCGTAGACCGTGAATCTTCGTCATGGGGTACCAGTCGATCTCGTGAAGTAAAATGCCGGTAGCAAAGTCCCAGAACTAAAAGATATTTAGTGTTGACCAGCAGTGGGAGAAAAGGTTACTCACCTTAACTTTACCATCATCGGAGCAGCTTATCAGCGTACGGTTCAGGCCATCTACGGCAAGACCAGTGATAGCTCCTTTGTGTTTGCCTTCGCCCTTTGCAAACTTCCGTGGCGAATCTTCTGCAAAGTCCATAGCCTCCTCGGCCTGTAGCTGTCGGAGTTTGTATTGTTTGGCTTCCGCCGGAGTGAGTCGAGCGGGAAACCTGCGACGGAATTGGCCAGACTGCAAGTTGTACATATCAATGGAGCCACCAGCGGAACCTATCACAGCAAACGTGCCGCAGGACGAGATTGCGACGCTCTTGACCTCTGTAGCGTCGCCTGTCTCGAATGCCCATCTACCAGCCCGTTTGCGCCCCCAGAACCAGGTTCTCGCAGTCTTGTCACCAGCGTGTCCTGTGACAATGCTCTCCCATCCAGTCATGTTGACCTCTGTAGCTTTCTTGTCCTGGCCCTTGACCTTGGATGAATTGGTCCAGATGCCTGATACGCCAGGCATCGCGCCCATGCCGCCGTCGCGGTTGAGAGAACAAGCCATGCAGGTGATGGCTGGCGCTTTCAGGTCTTCCAACTTGATATGGTGCTTAGAAGTCTCGGCGTTTCCGTTCAAGAGGCCCATCTTCTTCGCTTTCTTCTGAAGAGCACCCTGGCTGAGCTCTGTGCTTTGCCCGTCGCGTCGCAAACTCCAGCCCCACAAGCTTCGGTCTTGACTCGAGCTAAGAAGCCATTTGCCGACATCGTCGGAGCCATCTGAATTGGAGGGGAGGAAGCGAAGAGTCGAAACTGGCGCAGCATGGCCGCCACGGGAATGCAAGATACGCGGTAGGGGTGAGAAGGGGGTTTCGTCGAAAATCCATGTCTTTAAAGAGTTGTCCAAGCCACTCGACACAATTACAGCCTGTCCAGCGAGGAATTCGATCTTGCTGATGCCGCCGCCTACGCCTCCACTGACAGCCGGGGGTGGGCCATGAGCTCCGCGCAGAGTACCGGTCTTACGACCGCCTTTGTTCAGGTCCCAGAAGGTAATGTCGCCGCTCTGAGTACTGGCCGTGGCCATGACACCGTCTTCACGACCATCGTCGCCAGCACCCAGTCCGTCGGTCCGGAAGGAAATTGATGTCACTGGGTATTTCTGCGAGCCACCTGTGTTCAGGCGCATAACCTCCTTGTCGGCGCGAATGTCGTGGATTGTAATTGGGCCGGACTTGTATGCGATAGCGAGGAGGGACAAAGCTGGCGTCGGCTGTAGGGTGGTCACAGAGCCGAAGTCTGCGGCTGGCGGGAGAAGCGTGTATAGCAGCTTGGCAGTGCTGATGTTCCAAATCTCGACAGAGCCGTCCTTTCGGCCTACGAATATCTTGTTCAGATACGTGGGCATGTTGCAGATGCAGCCCGAGAGGTCACTGGACGATGCGCCGTGGAGGGTCGTGTAGTGCTCGCGGGTAGCTGTCCTCCAAACCTCGATCTTGTACTTGCCGCATCCTACTATCCATTCTCCGAGGACGACCAATTTTCTGATGCGCTGTATGCCGCCGCGTGGTATCTCTAGCTCAGCAATCTTTTTCCCGCGCTGGTATACCCACACGCCGCGCTCGTGTTCTTTCTTGTAGCTTGACCAAGCTGCGAAGACGACCTTGTTCCATGCTACTGTTGCAGTGATCTCCTCGGGGGTTTGCGGTCGAGTTATGAAGACGAGATTGAGTCCGCGCTTGAGGTCGTACGTTTGGAGAGAGCGGCCGACCGAGGTAGTGATCTGGAAGGTCGTTTTGCCGAGCGGGAGTGCTGTAAATGGAACACTTGTAGGCGACACAAGGCCAACAGTCTATCATGGAGTCAGTCGTGCGCGAGTGCTTGGTCGCGCCATGGAAGCTTACTCGGAACGGCGCAAATATCTTGGACTGGCGGATCTGTGTTGCGACGTGCTTTTCACCTTCGTGCCGTGTCCTCTGACGCTTGGTCACTGGGCCGCTGCTGGCACTCTGCTGTACCTTGGGGCCTGCCATGTTGGGTGTAGGTTGGGAAAGGACGACCGGGGCGCATGCATCAACTGGCTGGTGTTGCGGCCGCGAACGCGACCAGAACTTTTTTTGCGGAGATGAGATGATCAGATAAGATTAGATTAGATCGCGTGACGGCGCCAAGCGATCGACTCAGGGTCCACCGCCTTGCATAGCAAAAAGAATACCCATAAGCTTCCATGCTGGCTGGTGAGTTATGCTTCAAATTGCAGCTCAGAACCACGTCAGCGATAACGCGCTCACAAGACATCTGGATTACCTCAACTATGACCGGCATCGTCTGATCATCTTCCAAAAACATGGGGACGCGGAACGGGGTACCCCCGAAGCCTAGGTACAAGTCAACCTGGGCGGGCGCCGTTCCGATGTGATGTGCAACACGTGGCGCGCGTGTAGCCTCGCTGCAGCCCGAAGGTGGACATCTAGAGCTCGAAACGGCACAGCATATGCAAGCCTGTCCATTAAGATCGTGGCATTCGACCATGCTGCCAAGTTGCGCTGAGTGACGTACCGTGTCGTGAAAGTGTTTCGCATTCTTGACGTCTAGAGACTCAACTTCTACTGCGCTCCGGAGAATGAAGACGTTGTGAGGATACTGTCGCCAAACGTCTACTGTCCACTTCCCCCACGGCGCACGGGTGCAAGGCGTACCGCGAAACATGGAGCAGCCACTATCCCGCACAGCCAGTTCCGAGAGCACACGATCATGGCGACAGCTCTCCAGTGCGAGCGGCGCGTCCGCAGGCGGCCAAAAGGCAAGATCGAGCGAGCCTGAGACGGGCGGGCGCAATGTAGAGCGTCCCAGCGTGTCCGTCCCCTCGCTCGGTGCCGCAGCGATTCGACAGAGCTTGCCCGCACGCCGCCCGTCCAAGGCATCTGATAGCAGCATCTTTGAGTATTTTGGACATGCCTGGTCTGGCTCCGCTCTCGACGACTCGGATGCCACGCCCACGCTAGAGAGCACCCGGGGAAGTCTTGCAAGCGCCCCAGTTAATCCTCTGCTGCTGCCGGATTCCTTCCGACAGCCGCGATCTGACGCGGGCACTACAGCAACAGAGTCGAAGCGACTATCAATATCCTCATTCGTTTCTGCCATTTCCAACCGCGGATACAGTTGGAGTG